TGAGCATTTAAGGATGTCACAAGAGAAAACCGGGAGAATTGCTTTGGCGAAAGGGCCATCTTTGGGTTACTGTCTATAAATAGAGTGAAGTGAAAATAAGTGCTTAACAACTACCCTAAGAATTGGAAAATATTAAGCACTCCACATAAGCACAGATTCCATACTCTTAACGTGGGCAAACACACAGAGCAGTCACTGAAAGAGTGAGAACGTGACATTATGAAAGAGACTATCAAGACAGAGTCTCACTTCATTGTTTCTTTATACGCTTCTCTCCTCACCTGTACTTACTGTCTGTCTTACCACTTGATTGCATGTGCTTTAGGGCAGGAACTCACTAAATGTACAGCATTTTGAAACACAAAACTTGCAAAACTCACAGCACTCACTCACTAACAAGAACACCAAAAGCAATCTCTGCAGAAACTGATTGTCATTACACTTATGTTTAGGAACTAGGTTTATGGCTTTTCCTCAACACAGAATTAAGCACCACAAATTGTGTTAGCATTAAATATCTGGATTGTCATTAACATCTAAATCAGATAACTGTTATCTGGAGAAGGGTGGGTTATTACAACCCATAGAACAAGGGGAAATGGCACCAAGCTGTGCCAAGGGAGATTCAGGTTAGAGATAAGGAGGAAGTTCTTTACTGAGAGGGTTGTCAGAGGCTGGAACAGGCTGCCCAGGGAGGTGGTGGAGTCACCATCCCTGGATGTATTTAAAGAGTGGGTAGACGATGTACTTAGGGATATGGTTTAGGGGGTAGACAGGAGCGGTTGGACGCGATGATCTCGGAGGTCTTTTCCAACCGAGCGATTCTGTGATTCTGTGATTATTTGGGGAAGGGGACGTTATTTTGGGAAGGGGGTTGTTATTTTGGAAAGGAGGGGTGGTTATTTGGGGAATGGGGGGTGGTTATTTTGGGAAGAAGGTTGTTATTAAGTCTTCCATTAGTGACAGGCATTACCCTCTTGCATCTCTTATGATACTAATGCACCAGCTTTCCCAGTACTATTTGAAAAGCATCAGCAAGATTTTTGGAGGCTGTACATCACCGTTGCTTTCTTTTTCACCTCACTAATCCTTCAGACAGTTTTGATGAATCCAGAAGGAGGCTGGACGCCCTCCATGAACCTTGCTTCCTCACAAAAGCACCTCTGCAAAATCAGAGAGGACCCCTTCTTGCATTCATCCACCGGTTCAGTGCAACATGTTCCTACCATGAATGCCATGTATTCAGCTGTTAGCCCGTAGCAGGAGAAGAAAGGCTTTGCAATTCAGGTAGGTGAAGGCTGAGGGAAAGCCAGGTGGGATATGCAAAGCAAGGCACAGGATTATTATTTCAGCTGATATATTGGCACCTATTAACCTCAACATCTTGTAAGTTCAGAATTAGGAAAATTGCCACTGATATTGCCCTCCACTATTCCTACTCCTGTAATAACGGTTCAGGTGAGGATATCCTTCAAGTACTGTCAGCTTTTCAAATCTGCAATGACTTTTGAAGTAGTTAATTTTATTTATCCAGACCATTTACATTCCTGGGAACAAAGTGGTCTTTACTGCCTAGAGCTCAGGTAGATAGATGCAGTGCAATGAAATCTTTCATACTCTTGCAAGTACAACTGCCTTCAAATGTGTGCACTGCTGCCAGTGAGTGCTTGATGTATTTGCTTTGAAATTATTTAGCTATTATTATTGATTCCTCAGATAGGTAATTTTCTGTATCCCAGTAAAATCTGCAGAATCCTATGCATTTTGTCAGAATTTATTAGAGCTACTAAGAAATTTATAGTGTTTGCATAAAGAGTCTTTATTAACACTGGAAAGTGGCCTAGAGTAGCTATCTCTAGAAGTGCTGGAATGAAAAATCCTAAAAGATTTTCAAGATGATAGTTGAAAATGTCATGTGAATCTTCTGTTTCTTAGAAGTGACTCTATTTATTACAAATATGATCTCCAAGATCAATACATGTGTTTGCCACTCTCCCTCAATCACACACAGTGCAGTCACTAACAGTGTTTCTGTCCTTATCCAAATGCTCAGACTCAGAACGTCAGAATATTCTGAAGACGCTAAAAAAAATACCTAATGAACACAAATGTTTGACATTACAAAAAATAACCTACAGCGTCAATCTCATGGCCTTTTGCCATTCATGTATTTTCAGATTATAAGCATATCAGCAAATTGCACAACAATTACCTTAACTATACAAGTAAAACTGCTGTATTTTGCTTTTTGTTCTCTTTCTTCCAAATGTGTATTTTTTTAGACACTTTTTTTGCAAAGGAAAGATATCAAGTCTACTGCTTTATTGCACTGAAGATGAAGTTTTTACCTTTACCTTTAAGTCATTCCTCTTCCTCTTAGCACCTGTCAAGTGCTATGTCATCTTCATGCTTTGAAGGTTCTTGTAATGCATTCTGCGTTATTTTCATGAGATTTCTCTCCCATTCTTGTGTCACTTATTACTTCAGCCACTTCCACACATTCTCACCAGTGCTGTTATTTACAATTAAATGCAAATTCAGCACAAGCTAAAACTGTGAGTCTTCAACATTCTGACTATGTGAAAATAGATTAGCCTAATGAGGCACTTTTCATACTGAGAATTCATATCACTTTTTGGTTTTAGTGATCTCAACAAAATACACTGTTTTATGATAATGCATCCATGGTTGTAGGAAGTAGCACACACCCATCTCTTTCTTTGAGAGTATCAATCTTCTCTCCTTGAATCTAGGTAATTAGGAAGAATACACTTTAATGCTGTCCAGCATAGGAAGCAAACCCTGCAAAATAATTTCTTGCAAATAGATTAAAAGAAACTCTGCAATCTGATAGCAAAGCAAAACCATGGAAATAGTTGCTGAAGTAATCCATATGTTTCTACTTAATTCCTGATAGTATGGATCACTAGCCGGTTATGGAAAGCACTCTCTTAGCTTGGAGATTTGAATTCCAGGTAAACGGCCTCTCTGGCAGAAGTCATTAGTGTGCAGAAAAGTGAGGCTAACTTTGTTATTGCTGGCTAAAAGAAAAATTACAACAGACACCTGCTTCAGAAAATCTGGACTAAAATAAAGTTACTACATTCCACTGTAGGGCATTGAGAAGACCCTACTATTTTCAGTACTCCACTTCACCTGAATGTTATTTTTTAAACTATGTGTTAAAAACAGGTTAATGAAACCCCTCAAGTCTGATTGCAATGAGACCACAAAAGGATCTGCAAAGTGACTGCTTGTTAAGCACTGTTTTTTCAGTATCTCAGATTAGTTCAGACACAGCATAAAAAAGCATCCATAGAGAAATGCCAAACCTTTTTGCATTGAGATCCCCTACTCTCTAGAGGCATAGTTTTATGTAATTGTTCATAGACATGTGACATACCACAGAAAAAACAAAATTGAATAAAATGTCTGCAGTGTCTTGACACTCTCAGGCTGGAGAGTAGAAGGACAGAGGGATATAAATTTACTGACAAACTTCTCACTGCATGATTGGGAAAACTGAACAATTCGGCTCACTTATTATAAAAGACAAATATCTTTCCATTGTGGGGATAGAGGCAGCAGGAAGAAGAAAATGGGAAAAAGCAAGCAATTGAAATCTCATATTGAAACCTCAGTAAAGTATTTGTCTCTTTATCTATGATTACTGAAGAACACAGCCCCACCTGGAGACCAGCCATCTCAGAGGGTTAAATCAACCTGGTCAATAAAGTGTAAAGTGGACAGGAATAACGTCTTAAAAGCCATTTCCATGACCAGAGACATCATTAAATATTCACGCAAGAACATTCTAAATCAAGCAAAGCCAAACAGTTTTCAAGAGAACCTAAACAAAAAAGTAATTAAAAGTAAGTCATTAAAGGATACTTAATGTACATTATTTATTTTTTAAATTTGCAGTTTCTCTTCCTACTCACCTGATTATTTTTCCCCAGTTACATGTATATTCTTCAGGACAAACATGATGTCCTTTCAGATTGCAAATGGCTTAGTATATAGCAAACACTGGCCCAGATGTACTTCCCAAGGTTTTGCTTTATTCTGCCCAGGCGTCAAATTGCTCAGTCAAGTAACAGTTAGTGAGACTTATCATCTACAGAATTAACTCTTTTACTTTCATATATGCACAAACAACAGTGGTACTACTGTGCACATCATTACAATGCAAAATCCATAGATTTTTCTTGTTTGCAGCTTTTTTCCACAAATATTTATATCCAGCAGTCAAAAACATTTAAACAAATAAAGTATTTAAACAAGAGCAGTAAATTAAGCACACCTGAACTATAATCCATTCTTTTTAACATGGTGCACAGTTCTAAAAGAAAGCAAACTGTTCACTCGCCATCTTACTGTATAGTTTTTGGAGAATTAGTATAAACCCTGGCTCTGGTTTTTCATTTCTAATCTTGAATAATTTCAAGTAATTTTAAAGAAAAGAACACAGATCTAAAATGATTTAATTTCTGTTTTATCAGGTTTTTCTGCTTTACCATAGTGTTAAGGGTGACTATGTTTTAAATAAGTGTTTAGTTCATTAAGCTAATTTAGGTACATTATCTCCATTTAACCCCAAAAATTTCATTCACAATTCCTACAAGAAAGATAACTCACACATCTAATAGAGATGTCCAAAGCTGCTGCTTTCTTGAGGCTTACAGTTTATTCTTTAGGCTTTTATGTTGTTAGAGGGATCAATTTACAATTTACATAGATCTCTCAGCAAATCAAAATTAAAATTAATTGTATAAACTTGTGAACTCAAGAGAACACATCTGCTGTTCTTAACATTATCAAGGTAAGGCTCTAAAGCACAAGAGAAAGGGAGATGTAGGGCTTTTTGAAGTCTGTATAATGTTTCATTGTCAAACTAGCATTGTTTTAGGAAGGACACTGTCAAAGGCACAAATAGCAATTGAATTATATCTATTTTAAAAACTGGATCTCTGCTTATAGGAGAAAAATATTGCTTTTACCTTACTGATAAGTGTGACGACATCACCTTCTCGGATTGTGAGTTCATCATCATTCTGTGCTTCATATGGAAATATCACTTTGCAATATTCCTTGGCTGAAAGGAAGAACATTCAATGTGACAAATTATCACTTTATAACAAGTGTTTATGCAAGGGTGAATATCTTCCTAAAATGTTCCACAAGTATCTCGTTCATCTTCTTGCCACCTTTCTCTTTGTATTTTAGGCTTTCATAAACAGTATGAAATATTTAGAAAACTGCACTGATGAGCATTCCCACACACGTCATCCAGGGAATTGGCTCTGTATCCCCCAGAACCATTATCTCAAGTGAAACTGCTCCAGACGGCAGCCTGCCACAAATCTTTTCCCCTAGAGTAAGCCCACATCTGACACTTGCTTCAATAGTTCCACTGGTATGGCCTTCCACCAGATCACACAAATTGGAAGCATAAAGGACCCAGTAGGTTTACACAGCTTATCTAACCCCTGGTGTGCAAGAAAGCAGAATTTTCTGCATCTATAAAGATGATAAAATAATAAATAATATATTAACAAGTGAAGAGGTTTACGGTTGGACTCATTCTTAAAGGTCCTTTCCAACCTAAGTGATTCTATGATTCCATAACTAAACCTTCTGTACACTCAGCATAAAATAAGTTTCGAGTACTAGTTTAAAGCTTCCCCTTCCTTTTTCCCTTTACTCTATATAAATAAAGGCATCAACTCAACTTTCATCTGGAAAATACAGGTGCCAGCACTTCTACTCAGAAATCATAAAAAGCAGTTGTCATGAAAAGAAGTTACTTACAACATGTTGCTGTGCAACAGACAAGTATGTCAATGTGCCTTACAAATAAAAAGGGAATATGTATTCCAGCTGTTAAATAATGTATAAAAGTATGTGACACTCCAAGGCAGCAGGTTTAAAAAGACCAAAGAAACATGTACAGAAATTACTGGACCCTTAGCGTGTGACTTTGTAGAAGTGTTCACCTCATTTAAATGTCTCAGCTTTGGTAACCTCTGCCTCTAGTCAACTGTCATACTTGATGCAGAGAAACAGGTACTTGCGGGCCACAGAAGTCCAAATTAATTTGAAACAACAGGATCTACATCCTTACACTTACTATAAAGAGAACCTGCATTATCACACTCGTGGGTATTTGAGGCTCCACTGGGGGATCAGTTCAGCTGCCCAGACACTAAGTGCCATTTCAGACACTTGTGGGTACATAAGACCCACGTAGTTGGCAGATACAATGCCCAACCTATGGAAGAGCCAAGTTCCTCTGACCTGGCAGCTGGAGGCAAGCCCAAATACCCTGGGGAATCTCAAACAGCTCCAGCTGCAGGCTACTGACTGCAGCCCCCAGGGTGGGGTCTGGTATCTGAATTTAGATTCAGGTAGATGCAGAGCAGCATGTAAGAGAAACATGAGATGCAGCACGTTTTTACACTTCAGTGTGTACACTCCCTTAAATAATCATGGTGGGAGGAGGGGGAGTCCTATTCTGAGAGTATCTGCAGATTCAGTGAATTAGTACAGAGATGATGTAGACAGAACACTGTACTAAAGGAGCTGCGTATTGCATACTCACGGAAGTCTCTGGATACTGGAAACAGGCTTAGCAACTCTTTTTTGGGATACAGAAAATAAGTCAGGCTGGGTTCTTGGAGGCAAACACCACCCAAGCCCAAGGGCCATCATTCCTGTGTATCCATTCTCAAGTACGTAATTTATTCCTCCATTCACTATATAATCTATACATTGTATAATCTCAAGATTAGATTTGGAAGTCAAGACTAACGTACAGCTCATCAACAGAGAAGAACAGCCACTGTATCACAGTAATGGTACTATTCTGAATGGATGTCAGTGGTGCAGCTCTCGCCCAAGGCGTGAATGAATCCCAGGTTAAAGAACGCTTTGAACAGCAAGTGTCTCCAGGGGGCTCAAGTCTCCTAAGTTCTGTAACAGGCAATCCTCCCTCAGCTCCCCCTTGCTATGTGAAGAAATAAATGAAACTGAATCATCCTTCAAGATGAAGACCTGACAGACAAGAGCAGAGAGAAGGCTGTGGCTCCAGCATCTGAAAAAGTCAGCTGATTATCAGGAAAGTCAGTGCTTACGGTCTTCTTATTTTTAAAAAAAAGTTTTTCCTTTTAAAGTATGTGTCAATGTGAATCATGCAGTAAGTGGCCATCACAAGCAGCAAGACTTTAACCAAAGAACGCAGTCTTCACACATAGCAAATGGCTATGCATCTTCACCTTCTAGGCTTGATGTCAAGAACTCTGTTCTCCCATGACCTGTCTGCCCTCCCCATGAAGCTCTTATCTTTTTTTTTCTTTTGCTAATATTCAGATAGCAGAGTAACAAAAGAATTAAACTAGAGAAAACAGCCAGAAACCAGATTAAGCTCAGCCAAATGCTGATGAAGTTCATAAAGAGCCAGAAGGCAATCTTGTGAGAGGCAAAAGTGGGAGCTGGGGGAGGCTCATGGCCATTCTGAGCTCTGAAGGCTGGCATGAGAACACAGGGTGAAGGCACAACCGTGGAAAACATTCATGGTTTATGTACAGTAGATGCCTGGACTCCTTGAGAGCAATTCACACTCACATACACTAAATCAATACATTTCTCTGCCTAACTGTGGATCATGCTGCAACAGAGGTAGTTCTCAACAACACAGATGGGTTTGGAGCAACCTAAGTGACTGGACAAAGTCAGCTTTCAAACTTCTCCTAAGGGAATGGTAGACCAACATGATTTAAGTAAGTAAAAGCAAAGCAAACAGGACTCATAACAATATGAACCTTTAAAATCGGAATAATGAAAGCAGAGAAAAATCTAATAGGCTATGCCACTTAGGTACTAACATTGCCCGTACTCAGCAGAGCACAATACTGCAAGAGCATGTAGAAACACGTAATTTTACCAGTTAAATTTCTATAGGAAGTACGAAAATATAAAAGGAAATACTAATTTCAGATACAGCACTGTAAAGACCACACTGGAATCTGCTGAACTTGGGGGTTTCCCAAGAATAAAAAAAAACAAACAAAACCACCAAAACCCTAAAGGTCAAAATAATATATCCTATTACTAGTCTGGTAAGCAGTCTTAAGCCAAATTAAAGCTTCAAACTAAGATATCAATATTAAGCATCCCTCAACTGTAGATGATAAATCTCACTTTTACATGTGACATCCAAGGCTGGGTTTATACATCACAGCTGGCTCTTCCAGAAGCCTCTCTTTTTTCCTCTGAGCTGAAGACATCTTAAAAATATACCTTCTAATAAACCCAACGGCAGACATCTTGGAAACAGTAAGAGAGGAGAAAATATGGTATTATTGAACTTTTTAGTCCTCATTTATTAATTCAATAATAATTTACACTGTCAGACCACAAAGTCTCTCCATGCAATCTCACAGCTCACCCCAAGCAAAAGAGAACAACCTCCCACAGGCAACTGGCACTGCCCAAGGAATGAGCAGATAAAACCTACAGCAGATTTTACAACTCAAACAAGCTGGATCTAATGCATGATGTTCAGCTTCTGCACCTACATATTCCGAACCGAGAGGGCTTGGGCTAGGTATAACCTCATTTGAAAAGATGTACCCTTGGCTACACCTTGTGATTTTTGAACTGTACCATGAAAACACAACAATACACATTTTCTCTGTCCACGTCCCTCCTGGTCCTGTCCTTTGTAAAGAAGAACAAAGCCACTGTTAGCTTCTCTGACAGATCCCAAAGGCCCAGGGTGACATGCAATTCCCCTTCCCAGCATCACCCTCACACCTCAGAAGTTAGAAGAAAAGGAGCAGCAAAGAACTAGATATTTATCAAGGCAGTGGTCCAGAGACAAACATACCTTGAAGCTGAAACTTCACAGGGGACAGTGACTCTGGAATTTGCTTTTCCTCTTAGGCCAGAATGACACAATTACCTCCTCTTACCTCTGCTGCTGCTTTCTTGCTGTTAGGCAAGGACTATTCCACTGCATGGCAAGACTGCCACCATCTCAGGTAACCTAACCACTGGGCTGGATTCACTCTCCTAACTTTTCAGAAGTTTATTATTATTATTAATTTTACTAAAACAAATAATAAACATGTATAGTTGATTTTTTTAGGCTTAAATATTTCCCCCTTGAAGAAGTCTAAATCATATATCAACCTATATGGACACAAACACTAATGGTAAGTAAGAAAACACACAGCATTAAAGTAGTATTCCTTAAGCTTTCCTCTCTTTAACTATCACACACATAAAATGTTTCTGAAATGGTACAAAATCTATTGAAAAATTACATCATTGTTACCGAAAGACAGATGAAAAAAAACCCCGAACACTACATTCAGCAGAATTTGGTTTTACTATTAATTGCTATGCTCAAGACTCATTAATGGATTGCACTAATAAATATTTTCACAGAACCTCACAAGATGCATACTGTCAAAACACCTCCTCATTAAACAAAAAATAGAAACACAGCTAATTAGGGCCCCATTAACGCAGATTCTCCTTATACCTTATACCATCATGCAAAAAGATGAGTTGCTTGCTAGGATTTTGGTATTCCAATTATGCAATAGGTTAAAACAAATTGTAAATAGTCAGTGAGTGGACTAATCAAATTAAGTGCCATGGTTCATGCATTCTGTGACTTACTGTCTTTGCTGTTTTATTGTCTGCTTATTTATACTCCATATGTGCAATCTCAGCAATTTGCAATAACACTCTCAGACATTGTGGATGTTTTTGCTTTGCTGAATTTTAAAACTCAACAGAGCTACGTAAAAATGTATATATATTTTCTACCATATAGCCTTTTCATTGAAAGCCACTTAAACTAAAAGCAAGCTACTTCATAGAAAATACAATATATCTCACCCCAGAGACAGAATTATAAACACGCATGCATACATGTGCTATCCCAACTACCTAAGAGAGAAGGAAATTCAACAGCAGAATAATTCCCCTATAAGTCTAGGCACCCACAAACCTAAACCAAACAACTCTCCCCTCTCCTTAAAGATGTGTTCTTTCATTCCTGAAAGGTTAATGACGTTTTACAAGGTACCACTCAAGCTGTGCAGGGATTTGTGCTTTTACTGCTTGGCCTTTGAGCAAGAAGTCCTCTTTGGCCCTGAAGAGTCATCTGTTTTATCTCCCTGAATCTTAAGGCCACTTTTTAGGGAGATTCACATAGCATATTGTTGGGAGATGCACCTATAGAACATACTACTCTGTCTCTTCCTCTGACCAGCTCATCTCATTGCAGAACTTAGGCCATCTTGCATGCACTAAGAGCAAATGGTAAGCACATCAAGTGCCTTGCTGCAAATCACCGCCCTATCGCATCAGAAAAGCTATAGGAAAAAAGCAGACTCAAATAAAGATGTGGGAAGAGTCAATAATCATCTCTCCATGCTGAAGCCCCTGTAGGCAGAGAAGGAAGATGCTACTGCTCCCCATTTCCGTTCTCAGCAGGCTCTTTCACAGTGAAACTGTGGTTTTTATCCAGTTGACACTAAGGAATAACAGCATCAGTCATGGAAAGAAACAGGTGGAAGATGAAAAACTGTATTACTCCTCTACCAACATAATCTTTCTCTTGCTTGCAGCATACATCTCCAGCAGCAATCTCAAGAGAATCTAAATTACATATCCAAAAGACCCCCCTCCATACTGAACTGAATCGATGGATCCTCTGTTTCTTGCTGCTTCTTTGGAGAATGGAGCAGTGTCTGCTTTGTTCAGCAATTAAAGACTCCAATGAAGACTGGGACCATGCCATCCCAGACGAAAATGAAAGCAGCTGAAGTCCAAGGTAGAATGATACTTTTATGCTGAACACTGCAATCAGGACATGCATCAGTCTTCTGAGACCGCAAACTTCCCTGGATTCAACACTTTCAAGCTTGTTTGTGGTAGGCTTTTAGAAGCAAACAAAAATTAAATTTTGGAGAAATGAAAAATACTAGATAGATCACAGTCCTATGCCAGACTCTGATCATACTCCTCATCTCTGACTACCAGATGTTAACTGTATTATGAAAAAACTATACTTCCACCTATATAAAAATAGGTGACCCAAGTATGTTAGGCTTTCACTAAAGGTTTTTTCAATTTAAATGAAAAACTTTGACTGATTGAAAATTATCTCCTGTGATGCCATTTGAGACTAGACAATTACATATAATTACATTCTATCAGACTTTCCTATACATGTGTCTCTCTTTCCCAAGCAAGAACAGTGATGCCAAAAATTCTAAGGCTGCAGAGATTTCAGGAAAGATAAAATGTCCTAAATAATAAAGTTTAGATAAAATTAATAGAACATGCAAAGATACTGTACAAACAAGTAGCCCACCCTTGTCACCAGTTCTGGCAAAAGGGATGTTGAATGATGTTTGCACACAAACATGGTGAAAATAGACAACCGAAGAAGAGGGATTTTCTGACCAAAAAGGCACATCCCAGGGAAATTACAAAAAGATGAAAGAAGAACCAAGCAGAGCCCAAAAGTGTTGGAGAAGTGCCTCTGTGCCAACCACAGCTCAATGTGCCACTGTAGAAGGTACAGTTTCTAACCATTGTTCAGAAGGTATCCACATAATTTATAAGTGGTAAAAGTATAAATCCCCAGTACTCTGGGATGTGATTTTGTGAGCAGTTTCAGCTGTCAGAAGTATGAGCTGATGTGGAAAGTGGCAGCTGTCTTCCAGCCTGGCTTACCACACAAGGGTTAGTGCTGCAGGTGAGAAAGGCCATGGCATCACCCCTTCTGATGAAGCCCACACTCGGGTCAGCTAACCTGCTCAAGCTGCAGGCTGGGAAAGGTAATTCCAAGACATATTGGTTCAGGAGCCCTGCTCTACAGTACCAGTTCGCTCATTTTTTTGGTATTTCAAGATCTCATTTCCTCAGGGCAATTGAGTTCTTGCAGTCCTTGTCATTAACAGCCTGGTGTCACAAGGGGAGCAAGATAAGAGGATGCAGCAAGTCAATTAGTGTGGTGCAGCTAATGGACAGTAACTCGCTAAAAGCTGTTTTAAGCTGCTTCTGCAACTCTAAGCTGGAAACATGTGGTAAACCAGGTCATAACCACACACTTCTCTCAGACAGCCCCAGTTCTGCTTCTCCAGATGCTTGCCTTTCTATGTCTGCATCTGTTTCAGTTTTGAGATAAAATGATATCTGCTTATTATCTAAAAGGATAAACACATCAGGGGAGGAGGACTGTGCAAAACTTAAAAACTCAATGCATTATATTACACTCAATTTATTTTCTAAGGTATGGCTATGTTCTCTTCCTTCTTCTATTTTTATTCTACCATAATGCATAGCATTTAGTTGTAAATTTATAAAAATAAAATCAAAAGATGGGGAATATTTACAGAAGTTATATGGTAAGCTAGTTACCTATACCTCGCTAGAACACCATTGAGAACTGTCTAAAAAATTTAACTACTGCTTTTTGTTTACTAAGCATGGAAATGACAAAAACAGAACTGAAGTTCTTGGACACTCTTCATTTCCCATACAAACTATACCACCCACACAGATTATTTCTGCTACATAAAGAAAGCAAAAAGAAGAGGAAAAAAGCAAAGGCACTCATAACCAGAGATATTTTTCTATGACCTACCTACAAGTTACAGCCTCAAGTTGGATCTCACTCAACTCTGATTAATTCCAAAATATCCTCAAGGCTGAAAGCTGATCACATAATTTAATTTGATTTTTGCTGGCAGAAAACTTGAGGTAGGATTATCAGAGCAAAAAAAATTTCCCAGAATTCTGTGAAACAATGCATTCTGTGTATGTACTCAATGTTTACCCTATATATATCTATATGCATCCTCGCTTTTCACATACACAGGACACACTTTTAGCCAGAACTAGAGAAAAGTGTTCAGCTTGGTTTTAAGAGGCTTAATAGCACAAAGTGCAAAGAAGAAAAACTATGAAACCTACTTTTTGTTCTGCTGTCCACTTCGATTTTTGTTGGCTCCTGAGTTGCTGTGGCTGGAGGTAATTTCTTCCCAACACTCTGAAAAAAAATAATTATTCTCCTTTAAAACTTGCAGGTTCAGTTAGAAGTTGGACAACATAAAAAATCGTAATGGAAATACAAAATATAGGAGTAGAAAAAGGTCAGTAGAGAAACAGAGGCAAATTAAACTACACTTAGGTTTGTCTGTGGGGGTTTTGTCAGCTTTTTATTAAAATGATAAAGAATTCATAAAAATGTGATCCTTGAATTTTCCCTTTAAAAATGTTTACAGTATTTTTAAACAAGAACTCCTTAACACAGTTTCAGGGAAGACTCACAGCAGTTTCATTAGTGAACTGAGTATGTGATGAAATTACTTAAGGAAATGTGCTATTCAATACCAAAAGTAAAACTGAAAGAAGAGTGAGGGGTGGGTGGGAACCCTTGAGTTCTGTCATTCTAGACTGAGTGTGATTTTTAAGTTGACAACATCTCTTTAAATGGTTCCCTTTTTTTTTTAGCAAAAATAACTGATTTACAGACAAGTACTACAATAAGCAATAATCAGCCTCAGACAGGTAAGCTGAAAGAACAGTAAACAAACATTATCTGCCCTCAACAAAACAAAATTGGTGATATTTATCTTTATGTCTCTTCACCAATTACTATGTGCATGCCACTCGCTCTCTCACTCAGCTTTTCTCCCTGTCAAGAAAGCTGCCTAGCTTTGAAATCCCAGCCATGTGTAGTTGAGGACACAAGTGTAGTTATTACTTGTTTATATAAATATGAGTACTTAAAAGCCCTAGCTCTAGTTCAACATTCTTTCTGGTAAGGTATGCATAAACAACACAAAACCTCCTCCATATTTCAGTGACCTTATAGTAAAAGCTAAGAGACAAGAGCTAAGATTTAGTCTTCAGGGCACTGAAGACCTCTTATGGACCATAAGGAAAACACTAGTCAATATGAGAAGCAATAGGAGTTCTGCACTTTAAGCAGTTGAAAAAATTTCAAGGTCTATGAAGAATATGAAGAGCTCCATGTTAGCCATTTTGTACATTAGTTGTGCCAAAATTCATCTATGAAAAGGAGTGAAATACACACTCAGGGATGGCAGAAAGAGCGCCTCTGAAAGAGAGGTAGTCTTGAGAGTTGTGCACAAGATAGTAATCAGATTTGTGTTGACAAGCAAGACAAATTATGAATTGCAATACCCAAAATTTTCCATTTGCAACTTAACTTGCAGGTGGCAGCAGAAAGAACTGACAATGAGCTTGCAACTCTACTTACAGTACAGAGTTTGTGAACTGCTGGGGAAAAGAGATCAACAACAAAACCCTATAGAACCTCCCAACTTCTTTGCTGAAGTGGGAACAAGAGATGAGAAGTTTATAGAAGCAGTGATTAGGGAAGTACAGAAAAACAGGAGACGACTGACTCCTGCAATCAGGAGATGGCAAAACTAAGAAAAAAGCAAGACCTGTCTGTGCTGAAGAAGCTGAAAGTCAAGGAGGATGACAATGAAAAACTGACTCAGAGATCAAGCTGGAAAGCAGTGAAAATTATATTGGAAGAAATCCAATGAAGAATCTGAAGCTACCAGGCATTCACACAGATGAAAGCACAGAATGCCTTCAAGACGAAAGCAAGACCAGGAAGACAGCTTTTGGTTCAGAGGCAAATAGGGCAGTTCAACATAGCTGCACATCTCAGTACATGCTCATTCATGATCAAATCTTTATTCATAGTTCTGCTTCATAATGTTTCCAATGCTTTGGTCAAACACTGGAACAGGCTGCCCAGGGAGGTGGTGGAGTCACCAGCACTGGAGGCGTTCAAAAAACGTATTGGTGTGGCATTTTAAGACATGGTTTAGTGTCCATGGAGGTGTTGGGTTGACAGTCGGACTTGATGATCTTGGAGGTCTCTGCCAACCTTAATGATTCTGTGATTCTATAAACAGGTGTGGAAAATTATGAGAGCACATACTCTAAACTGCACTGCTATTTAACTCAGAAAGGAATTCTTACTAAAGGAATATCCAAAAACTGTAATTTAGAGAAGGTCGGGTTTTTTTCCTTTAGAGATGGAATTGTTTTTCAAGAACAATTAATTAAAAGAAAGCATTTGTAATTGCTTTATCATTCATGAACCATTGATCTAATGCCATGAAAAACAAAAGCCAGGTAAACCCAGAACAAGCTAAAATTTAACAAGCTAAAAATCACAGCAAAAGAATCATGGGCAAAGAGGAAGAAACTTGTGTATACCAGTGGGAAGTGCATGCTGCAATATAATTCCTTCATCTATAGCAGCAGATGCAAGTGCAATGGTTGAAAACATTCATTCATTTGCTCATTCAGAAAGAATGCCTATGCAGGTGATAAATCAGCATGGGGAACCAGCTGACTCCTTGGGAACAGAAGAGAGCATATCAGCCAAACAAGGCTGTTCTTTTGTTGAAACCTACAGGAAAGGTCAGAAAGCAGTCTTTGCACCAGTTGCAATTTGTTCAGCAGAGAAGGTAAAAAGCCTGGGAAGCAAGGTGGCTGAAGAAATTACTCCTTTTGCACATACAGAAATAGCCTGAGCAAACTGGACTCCTGACAGGTCTCCTGATTAAATGAAGGGCTGTGCAAAACTAGGTGTAGCACATAGCAGCGCTGAAAGATCACAGTGACCTATAAGATCCAAAGAAAATTTACTGCAGAACCAGCAAAGTTGTCCCAGAATTCCACAATGAGGAGAGGAAAGAATGTTTCTATCTAGTAGGAGGATATAGAAATTCATCATTCAAACAATTTAAACAAGGGTTGCACGGAACCCACTCTAGTGAGGAGGGACACCTGAATTTGTTGCGGGACAGAGAGAGAAGAAGACAAGTGGAAGTGGTATTCTTTAATTGTAAAGTGACTGCACCCAAGGATTTATAGGGATGACACAAGCATCACAGACAGGGAAAAAAAAAAGAAAAAAAAAAAGGATAAGCCATGTAAATCTGGTTTCAGGTGGACTGACAATATATTTTACTTTTCCTAGGAAATGGTACTAAAGGAGATTTCTTTTTTTATGATGATATATTTATGTTTACAATTGGTCTATACTGACCCATGCGTTTGCATGGAAACCACTTGTTACCATTTTCTGAAAAATATATCCATGAAACTTAATATAGTACTCATTTGTTCATTAGGAAACATGCAAGATAAATTTTCCTCACTTTAACAGGCATTGAATCACTACTAGCTGTGAAGTCTGAAGGTTCTGCTTTAACAGGATAAAAACCTCAAGTATAGCAAAAATCTCAAATCACAGTTACCAGTCTTTCTGACAAGAAAAGAGAAATGAGAGACAGACACATGTCCTCCAAAAACTTTCCTTCTGACTCTCCCCCTGTTTTACATCACTCATACTCACATACAGGTCAAACATCTACCAAATTTACTAGAGGCTACGAGAACCAAGCAAGCCCAACTTAAATTCTTGCTGATCCAACACACATCTCCATGACATAAGATTTTTCTTCTCAGGGACTAGTTACTACAGTAATTTGGTCTCTCCTCCAGTTGAAGGCCCAGCAAAATTTATCAAAATCTCCTTCACTTCTAAAACAGGAAACATGGGAGCAAAAAACACTTTAATTGGGTTGAACTGAAGATTGCAACGTAATTCTTCCTCCTCCTCTGTTCTTTCTTTATAGCAGAAGGTCAATTGCATTTCAGAAAAAAATGTTCTCCAAGCCCTTCCAGACACATTGATCTATGCTGCAAAAGACTAATATAAAACCCCAGCTTTGACACTATTTAGTCTTTTACCCAGTTAATTCCTACCTATCAGGCTCAATACTCCCAAGAAACAAGCAGATCTCACCTCTTTGGGACACAGGTACAAAACAAGACTTAGAACTTGAAGCGCTTTTGGGGATTTTAGATACTCCAAATCCAAGAGCAGGATCCTCAACCCTGCCAGCACTCCCTGACATCTCCCAGCATGAAGTCTCTCTCTCTATTTACCTAACTCTATCATTTTGTCAATAATGTTTGCAATAAAAAGTGACATGCAGCATTAACCAGAAGGCCCATAATGACCTCCTCTCAGCAGTGTCATAATCACCAGGCTGCAAAGACAAGTGAAGTTCTGCATTTTCTCTCTGACCCTGTATATCTTGAATTTTTGGCTGCTGCAGAATGTTTTCAGCATCAGCAAAAAGAGTAGCATATTCCCTTTTGCCTTTGTATCTTTAGCCTGGTGGTTCAGAGACACTCCTGAAGAGTAGCGTTTCAATTTCCCTCTATCCTCCTCCAGTGTGCTGATTACCATAAATCTAATTTCTAGACGGTGGCAGTCAACCTTGTTCCGCTTACATTACTCTGCAGATATCACTCTGACTTGTTTCACGAGAAACACGTGGTGGAAATGGAGTTTCTATTTCCTCACTCCAAGCCTAGGTTGACTCCCAATAAACAATAGAACATATCAACAAAACGGGCAGAATCTTGATCCCACTACTCCTGCAAGGCAAGTATAATTAGATTATTTAGCTCTCAGAGACAAATCCCCCTAATTGTCTGACAAGTGAATCGTAAAGCTGAAAGGGGATGAAGTGCCCTCTTGCTGCAGAGACAGCTGATAAAAGCATGAATAACGACCATGATTTGGCGCAGAGATATTCAGAGGGATGAGACAGATTTAGCAGAAACCTGCCAGTCTTAATGCTCAGTTTTACGAAGCCAATGGAAGGGCAGTCTACCATTAAACAACAGGTTCTGTTAGCAGAAGAGGCCTTGAGGGGCTTTGGTAGACTGCAAATCCCTATCACTGCTGACCAGTTTCCTCTGATACTGAATTAACGGTGATTACAAAAGTGGTTGAGGTGGCACACAAAGTCGTGTGAATGAGGTCACAGCACAATCTAAACAGTCTCATTTCCTTTCATTTATGTATGTTGGCTCAACTGCAATCCCTATAACAGCAGAATACAACACAAGAGAAGCAGATCACGTAATGGGGTGTACACAAGTGAGCTTTTCTCACTTGAGGGCACTATGGCCCTT